TGCCTGCAGAGGTCCTGGGTTTGATTCCCAGCACTCACATGGAGTCTCACAGCTGTCTGTAACTCCAGTCCCAGGGGATCCAACATGCTCTTCTGACCTCCAAGGGCATCAGACATTCAAGTAGAGCATAGACATCCATGAAGGCAAAAAACCCTTCCCATACGCTTAAAATAATAAATAAATCTAAATAGTTTTTAAAAATCAGTTGACTAAACTGCTAGACAGTAATCAAGGAAAAAAAGGACAAAGCACAAATATACAAAAATAAAAAATAGGGGAAACAACAAATAGAAAAAGTTTGAAATGGTAAAACTGTTTTATAAAATTCTACACATTAAATAAAATATGGGTAAAATAAAAATTTTATAGTAAATAAATGTGACTTATGTAAGTACTCAGGGACAGTCTGGATACTGATACATTAAATAAATTAATTAATTAAAAATTATTTACTTTCATTTTTATGTATATTGTTATTTCACCTGCATGTGTCTGTGTAAAGGTGTCAGATCTCATGGAACTCAAGTTACAAACAGTTGTGAGCTGCCATGTGGGTGCTAGGAATTGAACGTTGGTCCTCTGGAAGAAGAAGCAGTGCTCTTAACCGTTAAGCCATCTCTCCAGCCCCTTAACATATATTCTTGACTAAAGTACTTATGAAAATAGGACAACAATGTTCCTTAGCAACAATAGAACAGATGTTCCTAACATAATAATAGTGATAATAACAACAACATGCATATGTGGATAATAATAGAGAAACACTGGAAACATTTCTCCTAAGATGAGGAATAAAAAGAGGACAATCCCTGATGTTTGCTATTACCCGATCTAAATTAGCCAAGAAAAAAATAAAAAGAGGCAGACCATATGACTGTAACCTAGAAACATCAAGAAAATCATTTGAAAAAATGCTATAAGTTTGGAATTCACGAGGACAAAAAGACTAAACAAGTTACATATAGAACTCAAAAGCCTTTGTGTTTATAAATAAAAACCAGTTACATTAAATATTTAAAAGTACCATTAAATGATAAACCCATTCAATAGCAACAGAATGCAGGAAATGCCCAGGAACACCAAGATTGAGTAGGCTGGAGTGAGGAGAGCCTTGCAACAAAACAGAAGTATATGGTACATTTTTGGATTCAAGGCTAGACTCAACACCTTACAGAAGCCAATTTGTTTTCATTTAACTGATGAAATAATGAGACCTTAGTAAAAAATAACCTGTCTTCTTATACACTGGGTGAGGACACAGTATTTCTAAAGGCTATATCATAAAACAAGTAAGAATGATCTTGAAAATGTGAGAGTAGCCTTATCACACATTACAAGTCATAAATAAATGATGTGTGTGTGTATGCCACCAAACAAACTTCTGTATATCAAAACACAAGTCAACAAAAACAAAATAACCATCCACCACTCCAAAGATCAAAAGTCAAATAACAATTTAATTACAAACCTTGCTCACAAAAGCTTCTTTTGGCAGTGGGCAGCAGTTAATGCAAAGATTCTAACTTGTGAAGTGCTGAGAGGAAGTGACTGAGTGCTCAGCCCTAAAAGAGACATCTGTGTCAACTCTCCCCCAACCCAAAGGTCAAGGACTGTCATAGAGGAGGACACAGAGGGACTGTGTGAGCTGCAGGATGGGGAGGAAGGCTGTGAAATGCTGATTTCTAGATATGACATGGCCACTGTACTCACAGCAACAGTGGTTACTCAGACAAGATCAAGTCAGTCAAGGTTTTGATACAGATAGGAGAGAGGCTCCTATAAACCCCACCCCTAGGCGAGGAGCCACTGTCAGTTGAAAGCTGCTGGAAGAGGAAGAGAAATTTTTCATTGGAGTCAAGAGTGGTTCCAGAAAATGGCCTCACATCCTTGCACACAGTGGCAGCTCTAACTGAAAAGACTAGGTTATAAAAAGGGGCAGGGCACATAAAGATGGATGGGGGTGGAATGTCAGGGGAACTTGAGCGAGAAAATAAGCACTGGATATAGTCAAAATACATTTTTAAAATAACTTATTTTAAATTTTTATTTATTTCATATATATATGTATATATTTATGTATTTATGATTTATTTTATTTACTATTTATACAGCGTTCTGTTTGCATGTTTGGCTGCAGGCCAGAAGAGGGCATCAGATCTCACTAGACATGGTTGTGAGCCACCATGTGGTTGCTGGGACTTAAACTCAGAACCTCTAGAAGAGCAGTCAGTGCTCTTGAGCCATCTCTCCAGCCCCAAAATATATCTTATATATGCATGAAATTCTCAAACATAAAATAGATTTAAAAAAGAAAGGAAAAAATACATAAGCCAAGGGTTTGTTAAGGTGTATGGCTACCAAAATCAAGGCCCTGAGCTCTGTCCTCAGTACCTAAAAATAACAATAAATGTAAAAGAAAAAATAATGAATGACAAGTATTCCTCACATTAGTGAAGGGCTGTTTGCTTTGTTTGATCCAGGCACAGTGAGTAGTTCATGCCTGTAATCCTACAGCTAGGAGGCTAAGACTGGAATACAAGGGCAGATTGGACCACACAGTGAGTTTTAGGCCAGGCTGAGCCACACAAAAGAACCAGTTTCCAAAAATACAATACAAAACAAAAAACTCTTAAAACAGCAAATCTGATTGTCAAAAATCTTAGAGTTCAATGACACACATAAAAAGGTAACAAATATTCTAACTAGTAGATGGAAAAACACAAGCTTTATGGAGGAGAATCTAGAAATATGATCAAAATTATAAATAACATTTATCCTTGACTTATCAGTCTCATCTCTAGAAATTTATCTTATATTACTTATATAAAAATAATATTTGGAGATAGCAAGTAATAAAAAAATTTCCCTAATACACATACAAAAGGACCTGGCTAAATATTGTCTCTCTATTTTCACAATGGAAAAAAAACTGCTAGAAAAAAATGAGGAAAATGTGTTGATCTGTAAAGATCCAGGAATCCATGGAAGGATGCCTAATTCCAGATACTAAGCAATAAATATGATGAACCTGGAATATATTGCTGTACCAGGAAGCAAAGAAAGTGAATTATCAACTGGACATTGCACCTTAGAAGTCCACTGAATGAGAAAAGAGTAGAATGAGAAAAGTCACACTTGGGAGCAATGATCAATCACTGCAACATCAGTTAACAACCAAGTTTGATTGGGGTTTATTAAGGTTAGACCTCTGAACCTACTGACTGTTCTATGGATTCATCTTTGCACCACAATTAAGACCTCCTAATACTGTGACTCCAAGTAGGACACACATAAAACATAAAACGTGTGTGTGTGTGTGTGTGTGTGTGTGTGTGTGTGTGTGTGTGTGTGTATTCACTTTCTACCCAAAGTGAAGTAAATAACTTATTTTCAGAAAATATCAGAAGTAGAAAAAGAAGACATAAGAAAACAAAAGACAAACACAGACTTGGGGATATTCTACAATACGGTTTCAGTAAGAAGTCAATGAGATTTTAAAAAGAAGAGGGTAGGGAATAAATGTGATATGTAAATCTTGTAGATTTACATATCTATTACAAATCTATTTGAATCAAATAGATTTGATTCAAATCTATTAAGCGGAAAAAGACATATTTGGGACCATCAAGAAAATATGATCTTGGGTTGGAAATTAGGGAATACAAGTTTTCTTTTCTTTTGATTTTATTACATTAAAAAAAAATGACATTGCACCATAGATGTCTGTTAAACCCTATTGGGCCATAAGAAGACACCCACAGCTAAACACTGAACTGAACTGGAATCCAGTTGCAGAGAAGGAGTGATGAGCAAAGGGGTCAAGACCAAGCTGGTGAAAAACACAGAAACAGCTGACCTGAACAAGGGGGAACTCTTGGTTCCCAGACTGTTAGCTGGGAAACCAGCATGGGACTGATCCAGACCCCATGAACGTGGGTGTCAGTGAGGAGACCTCAGAAATCTATGGGGCCTTTTGTCGTAGATCAGTACTTATCCCTAGTACAGGAATAGACTTTGGGAGCCCATTCCACATAGAGGGATACTCCCTGAGCCTAGAAACAGGGGGGTGGGCCTAGGCCCTATCCCAAAGGATATGACAGGCTCTGAAGGCCACAGAGGAGAGGCCTCACCCTCCCTAGGAAGCAGAAAGGGTATGGGATAGGTAGGGTGTTAGTTGGGGGAGGCAGGGGAGGAGGGGAGGCAAAAGGAACTGGGATTGACATGTAAAATAATCTTGTTTCTAATTTAAATAAAAAATGGAACCAGGCGGTGGTGGCGCACGCCTTTAATCCCAGCAGAGGCAGGAGGATCTATGTGAGTTTGAGACCAGCTTGGTCTACAAGAACTAGTTCCAGGACAGCCTCCAAAGCCACAGAGAAACCCTGTCTCAAAAAACCAAAAAAAAAAAAAAAAAAAAATGACATTGCTAACAAATAAGAAAACATCCTGATTTTCAGTGGTGTACGTATAGTAGGGACAAAATAACATGGTGTCCTAGAATGTGACTTAAAATATTTGCAGAGAGAAAGAAACATAGATGATTAACAAAGGCAAAAGAAAAACCCTGACAAAATGAATAATGGCTGTATACATATGGCAGTTCAATATGCTATTCTTTTTACTTATATATTAGCTTGAAAATATTTGTAGGAAAACACCTAAAAATGAGACTACAATTAGTAACATGTTAAGAAGAACAGGTATACCTGGGTATGGGCACTATGACCAATATATTTCTCTTAACATATGAATTTTATAATTAAATGCTGACTTAAAAGTGAAGAGAATACAAGTAAATTATTGTTAAGATAAAATTCTCAAATGATACACCAGGGCTTTTATAACTTTCATGTGCCTGCCTCAAGTTTAGTAGCGTTCTCAGACAGGTTCTGTATAAAGGGTGTAAAAATGAAATATAATAAAAATATTATACAATTACACATATGCATGCCATACAGAAATTGACTACCCAATTCAGAATACGGTTTCAGTTTCCTTACCATCAATATTTAGCATCATTTTCCACATGGCAGGCCGAACAGACTGATGGAATCCAAACCATACTTCCCTGCCCCCACCCAGAGGGTGGTCATATCCTTCTGGAGCTGAGAAAAAGGAACGTCCCACTGGCGTATATCTACAAAAAATAAAATGGCACCCTCAATCCTTTCCTTCTAGTACTAATACTTAAGTCTACAGGACAGGGGACATGAAAGCAGACAACTTATTATAATGAAACTTATGATTATAAATACACATGAAAGCAAAAAGTTATTCTAAATGAAGAAATTCATCAGCATCCTTTCTGAAATTGTCTATTTTCAGAATCTGATAGTTTACAATGTAATATGTTTTATCTATTTTATTACTGATGGGAATGTCCTTCTGTGTATATTTATCTTATTGGTTGTTGAATAAAGCACTGTTGGCCAATGAAGAAGCAAGTTAGGCAGGACTAGGAGTCAAGGAGGATTTTGGGAAGAGGAAGCCAGCAGAAAGCGTCTTCGATAAGTCTTATAAAATATATAGATTTATGATAATTAAGACTGAGCTAGCATATAATTGGCCAGCAGCATTGTAAACTAATATAAGACTCTGTGTGTTATTCTGGGCACCCATATAGCGGTGCCCAGACTTATCGTTACATATTATTATTATTTAAGACTGAGTGTCACTGTGCAGCTCTGGGAAGCCTAGAGCTCACTTTGTAGACTGGGTTGACCTCAAACTCACAGAAATCTGCTGCCTCTGCCTCCCTAGGGCTGGAACTAAAGATTTATGGTACCTCACTTGTCCCTTAAAATGCTTTCTTAAAAATAAGAGCATTGCAACTTTAAAATGTTAAAGTTATTTCTACAAATATGTTTCAGGGTAGCTATATTAACTAATTGTTTCAAAGATATTTGCCATATATAAGTCTAGAAATATGAAATGGTAGTGTGATTTAAAAAAAATAGTACCTCTCACTCCCTTTTTCCCATGCAGGACCTCATGTGTGCCTGAACTCTATCTTCAGCCCAAGAGTAGCAATTTCAGCACAAACTGACACTATTGTATAAAATATGAAATCATTTTTAAAATAAGATATTTAAGTTCATAGTATATCTGAAAATATATCAGTTTTTTAAGACTTATAGGAGCCCTGTCTCCAAAAACCAAAATAAATAAATAAATAAATAAATAACTTACAGGTCCTAAGAAAAAGGGCTAGAAATTTCTCTGTAAAATAATAAACTAGATTAGCTAAACTAATGATGTATGATGTATATTTTACATGCTGTTATTGTACAAATGAAATAATGGAAAGCATATAACATATAAAGGTCAACTGAGGAAGGTCTATACTACTCATTCATAGGAAGAGACCCTTCATATTTAAAAATCTAAAGAAGAAAAAGGTCAGAACCACCTACTTCATGGAAGGCAAATGTCGTAGCACCACATCAACGGCATGGACCGGGTTAGTGCTGATTGGCTTGTCTAATTCCAGTGGCTCCGGCAAAGTCCGTCCCGTCAGCACTTCATGTAGTAGGTGCCAACTTACTCGAGATACAAATTTGACTGACACCTTGAAAGGCCGATCTTTTCCACCTTCCCCAGGCAATGTAACATCTAAATCTACCTGTTGATGGGAGAAGATCCAAGTGTAAAATGTTGGAGAAGATAAGTGTATTTTAAAATTTAACTTATAAAAAGACAAGAAAAATAAAAAATCTCAATGTCAAATTAATAGACTAAAATTCAAATACACAGTTTATTCATGACAGTATTATTCATGACTCTAAAACACTGGGAACTACTTAAATACAGCAACATTTAGGCAGCTTTAAAAAAAAGAAAGATCTTTTGGAACTGTTATATGATCATTTTCCAGCCATATTATTAAATTAACAACCCAAATATAAAAGACTGTAGAAGACAATTGTCTTTTGCATGAGAAGGGAAAATGAGAAAATACTCATGTATTTGCTTCCTTTTGCAAAAAAGAAACACAAGAAGGAAAAATGAACCAGGAACAAAGAAGCTGGTTAATTTCAAGGCATAGGAGGGAAGGGATTGAAAGAAATAAAAGAGTCAGGGAGTGGTGGCACACAATTTTAATCCCAGCACTCAGGAGGCAGAGGCAGGCGGATCTCTGTGAGTTCGAGGCCAGCCTGGTCTACCGAGCTAGTTCCAGGACAGGCTCCAAAGCTACAGAGAAACTCTGTCTCGAAAAACAAATGAGAGAAACAGAGTGAAAAAGAGAGAGAGAGATGGGCAGGGGGAGAAGCAAGGCTGAGTGTATTTTGGGGGTGGATTCATAGTCTTGAAGTTAGGAAGCATTGTAAAATTCTAAATAGTCAGGGGTGTTGTTTCAGGTACTTGGGAAGCTAAGGCTGGAGAATCACCTGACTCACAAGATCAACAAGGATGAGCCAGGTGTGGTGATTCATGTTTGTAATCCCAGGACTCAGAAAGCAGAGACAGGAATCAATGTATGTTTAAGACCAGTCTAGTCTATATAGCAAGTTCTAGGCCAACTAAAAATATAAAAAAAAATAAAACAAAAAAATCTCAACTTAAGAAACTCCGACAGAGCTGGAGAAATGGCTCAGCGGTTAAGAGCACTGGCTGTTCTTCCAGAGGTCCTGAGTTCAATTCCCGGCAACCACATGGTGACTCACAACCACCTTAAATGAGATCTGGTGCCTTCTGCTGGCATGCAGGCAGAAGACTGCATACATACATACATACATACATACATACATACATACATAATTAATTAATTAAAAATAAAAAATCCCCAACAGTAATGTGGTAGTTTGAATAAGCTCATAGGGAGTGGCACTATTAGGAGGTGTGGCCTTGTAGGAGTCCGTATTGCCTTGTTGGAGTGTGTCACTGTGGAGGGAGGCTTTGAGGTCTTGTATATGCTAAGTCACACCCAGTGTTTCAGTTCACTTCCTGTTGCTCCTTCTCCAGCACCATGTCTGCCTGCACGCCGGCTGCCATGTCCCCACCATGATAATACTGGAGTGAACCTCTGAAACTGTAAGCCACCCAATTAAATGTTTTCCTTCCTAAGAGTGGCCATGGTCATGGTGTCTCTTCAAGCAATAGAAACCCTAACTAAGACAAGTGGAGAAAAAAAAATTAAAACTGAGCATAAACAGAATCAAGTGAATATAAATGTATTTCAAATGAGTAAAAAAACAAAAACCAAAAAACAAGAAAACCCTGATGACAAGTAACTCTTAAACACAGTAAACATAGTGACTATACCCTCAGTTTGAGGAGTGAAGGCAGAGAAAGAGTTGGCTTAGAAGAACAGCTGCATGCAAGATAAAGTATTAAACGCTTATGTTTTCTATAGTGGTATAAGTACAAACTGTTTTTTATATATTGTAGGATTGAAGAAAAAAAAGGTGATAATGGAGGGTGGGGAGTAGGGGGTCTAACAACCACAACCACAACAAATAGCTAGTGAGATAGCTCAGCACGTAAGGGTGATTGCCACCAAGCCTGACAACCTGAGTTTGATCCCCAGGACCCATATGACAGACGTTAGAAAACTGTCTCTCTCTCTCTCTCTCTCTCTCTCTCTCTCTCTCTCTCTCTCTCTGTCTCATACACACAAACACACAGACACACACAAAACATTCTCTCACACACTCTTAATAAATAAATAAATAAATAAACAAACAAATAGATAAATTAGGCCTGGAGTGACAGCTCAAGTTAAGAGCACTTGCTGCTATTGCAAAGACTAGAGTTGTTTCCAGCACCCACAGTAGGCAGCTGCCAATATCTTTTAACACCAGTTCCATGGGATCAGTGCCCTCTTCAGGGCTCTACAGGCACCCAGGCACACACACAAATGAAAATATAATGAATATTTAAGAAAATTAAAGTGTTAATGTTTTAGTATTATTTTATTTACACATACATGCACGCACATGTACATATATCTTGCCCCTGTCCACTAATAAAAGGCTTAAGAAGCTAAAGGGCATTCTCCCTGCAAGATAGAAAAAAAAAAAAAAAAAAGGCTTAAGAAGCATACCCCAGTATCAGTAAGCATATATGTTACTCATATTTTGATTTCAAAATTGTACTCCAAAACAGGAAACTAGGGCTCCCCTGAGAAATGGTTGCTTGCAGGGCTGCAGTGGCAAAATGTAAGTTTAGAATATTCTGTACCAGAAAGTAATGAAATATTAATAAAGAACCTGTTGGCCAGATGTAGTGGTTCATACATGAAATTCCAGCATTGGGGAGGTTAAGGCAGGGGAATTACCATAAGTTTGGAGTCAGCCTGGTTATACAGTTAGTTCCAGGACAGCCTAGGTCCTGATCTCAAATTAAGAAAATTTAATAAATAATTAAATTAAATAATTAAATTAAGAAATAAAGTGTGTCATATCAAAAGAATGCGAGAATCAGCTTAAAGGTGTGCCTATTGACTATCTGGCACAAACTGTGTCAGATAAATAAACAAAATAAAAAATATTCTTTTATTATGGAGGTAATAATCCTCTCAAGTAAGAATTCAAAAAAAAAAAACCAAATTAAAAAAAAAAAAAAAAAAAAAAAAAAAAAAAAAAAAAAAAATGTAAAAAGAAGATCCTTGGGGCTAGAGAGATGGCTTAGAGGATAAGAACACTGACTGCTCTTCCAGAGGTCCTGAGATCAATTCCTAGCAACCACATGGAGGTTCACAACCATCCATGAGATCTGGTGCCCTCTTCTGGTGTGCAGATATACATGGAAGCAGAATGTTGTATACATAATAAATAAAATCTAAAAATAAAAAGAAGATCAAGTTATTTCTTGCATGGAAACTAAAAACTGTGCATCAAAGGGCACAATTGATAGGGGAAAGACAATCTATGGAATGCTAGAAAATATCTTTATAATTATATATATGAAAAGATGTGGGGATATTTTGTTTGTGATTTAACAAATGAAGCTTGACTGCAGATCAGAGTGCAAAGCTAGTCACAGTAGAGGACAGACAGTAGTGACACACACCTTTAATCCCAGCACTCAGGAGACAGACTCTGTTAGTTCAAGGCCAACCTGCGCTACATGAAATTGATTCAGTCTAAAACAGAAACAGAGCTCACACAAAGGAAATCCTAGCACTTAAAGTCACACGCCTTTAATTCCAGCACTAAGGAGGTAGAGACAGGAAGGGATATGACTGGGTGGAGAGACAAATATAAAGTGGGAGGAGATAGGAGTTCATTGCAGTCTATTCAGTCAGGCTGAGACGGCAGTCTAGGAAGTTAGTCTGATCATTCAGTTTGAGAATTTGAGGTAGAGGTAAGAGCTAGTGGCTGGCTGTTTTGCTTCTCTGATCTTCAGGCAAGCTTTATTTGTTAGATCATAAACAAAATATCACCACAAAAGGGTTAGCATCTAGAATATTAAAAAAAAAAACAAAAATTCTTGTAACTCATTAACTGCAAAAACAAAAACCCAATTTAAAAAGTGGATAAAATGCTTGAATGGACTTTTTTTTCTTAAGTTTTAAGACAGGGTTTCTCTGTGTAGCCTTGGCCACCCTGAAACTCACTTCTGTAGACCACACTGGCCTTGAACTCACAAAGATCTGCCTACCTCTGCCCCCTGAGTGCTGGAATTAAAGGTGTGTCCCACCACCAGCTTGAATGGATGTCTTGGTAAACATAAAAATGGCCAATGAATACATGAAAATAAGTTTAATGTCACTAACTTGGAGGAAATCCAAACCACAATGAAACTGGACCTGGTTGTTCAGACCCATAATCCCAGCGCCTCAGAAAGCAAAGGCAGAGGGGGTGGAGGGGTGTTGAATTAAGATGCCAGTCTTGACTGCACAAAGAGTCAAATGTCAGCCCTGGGTTATACAATGAGATCTAAATGGTGTCTATCAACAGAAAAATAGATAAACAAACTGTGTTGTATTCGTGTAATAGATTTATTACTCAGCCTTGAAAAAGAGAGAAAATCTAACATATGCTACAATATGGATATAACTTGAAGACATAATGCTAAGTAAAATAGGCAAGGCACAAAAGGATAAATGCTTCATGATTCCACTTACTTGACGTACCAAGAGGTGTCAAATTCAAAGACACAGAAAGGAGAGTAGTGGTTACCAAGGGTCAATGGGAGAGGGCAATAAAGAGTGTTTAATATAGAGGGGAGTGGATTTGGGGGCAGAGGGGAGCAGGGGGGGAATGGGAGGAGAAGAGGGAAGGGAAACCGCAGTGGTATGTAAAATAAATAAATAAATTTAGTTGAAAAGAAGTGGGTACAGAGTTTCAACTTAACAGGATAAAGACAGTTCTGGATGCTGTTGCTGACTATATATAACATTGTACAGGTGCCTGACAGTACTGAATTGTACTTTAAAAATGGTTACAATGTTATTTGTACTTTTCAAGAAAAAAAAAACACAAAACACAAAAACATAAACAGAAGCACTCGCCTTTAGTCCCAGCACTGGGAAGGCAGAGGCAGGCAGATCTCTTTGAGTTTGAGACCAGCCTGATCTATAAGAGCTAGTACCAGGACAGCCTCCAAAGCCACAGAGAAACCCTGTCTCGAAAAAACCAAAAAGCAAACAAACAAACAAACAAACAAAAAACATAAACAGAAAACAACACTTCCCTTTAAGATACTAACTACAAGGAGAAAAGAATATCTTGGTAGGAAAAACAGGCAGAAATCAACTTAACCAAGTAGTTGAAGTTACCATCACCATTAATGGAACAAATGGATATTATGTACTTCTGGGTACAATGGCACTGCTAAAATAAGAACACTTCTGCAATATTCTGGCCAAATTATATATAAACAAAATGTAACCAGGGGGAAGGAGATAACAAATACAACTCAGGAGCAGTCTAAAAATAACTTGCCTATGGTCTTCAATCATGTTTACATCATAAAAGAAAAGAAAAAGGCTAGATAAATGTTCCATAATAAAGACTAAAGATAATGTGTTGCATATTAGCACGATCCTGGACCGGATTCTTTATCAGAGGCTAAAGAACATAATTGAAACATTGGGCAAAGCTAGAATACAGACTGCTGATTAGACAAAAGTATTGTAGCAATATTACATTCAATTAAGATGGTAAATACACTATAGTTTTTAACCTTTACTCTTAGGAAATAACATATACTAAAGTATTACTAATGGGGCATAATGTATGCAACCCAATTGTGAATGGGTTAATAAAAAGTAAGTATGCATGTATGTTTCATGAAGAAAAATTCTAAAAATCAGTGCAGCAAATGTTAAGGACATTGGTGAATCTGAGTAAAGTGTGTATGAGTTTTCTGTAAACCTGAATTATTTCAACAGAAATTGAAAAAGGATCACATTAACATGGATTACAATTTAAAATTGTGTAAGATTCTTTTTTTTTTTTTTTCTGAGACAGGGTTTTTCTGTATTGCTTTGGAGGCTGTCCTGGAACTTGTTCTGTAGATCAGGCTGGTCTCAAACTCAAAGAGATCTGCCTGCCTCTGCCTCCTGAGTGCTGGAACTAAAGGCATGCACCACCACCTTAAAATGGTATAAGATTCTTTAAAGGGAGAAAATGGGGCTAGGGAGACAGTTCAGCAGTTAAGAGCACTTGTTCTTGCAGAGGACCCAGGTTTGGTTCTCAGCATCCACATGGCTGCACACAACTAGCTATAACTGCAATTACAGGGGAGCTGACGCCCTTTTCTGGCTTTCTTGGGCACTTCACAAACACGATGCACAGACATACATGCAGGCAAAACTCTCATCATATAAAATAAGAATAAATAAATCTAGCTGGCCGTTGGTGGCACACACCTTTAATCCCAGCATTGAGAAGGCAGAGGCAGGTGGATCTCTGTGAGTTTGAGGCCAGCCTGGTCTCCAGAGCAAGTGCCAGGATAGGCTCCAAAGCTACACAGAGAAACCCTGTCTCGAACCCCCCCCCAAAAAAAAAAGAATAAATAAATCTAAAAAAAGTAAAAATGAGGAGATATCACGATGGGGGAAGTCCTTCTGTGTATATGTTTGTCTTATTGGTTGATAAATAAAGCACTGATGGCCAATAGGAAAGCAAGATAGGTAGGGCTAGAAGTCAAGGAGGATTCTGAGAAATGCGAAAGGACAGGAGTCGCCATGTGGTCCCGGAAAGAGGATGCATTCTGCTGGCATCCTCGATAAGTCTTTATAAAATATATAGATTAATAGGTATGGTTGATAATTAAGACTGAGCTAGCAGATAAGAAATCCTGGTCATTGGCAAGTAGCACTGTACCTAATACTAATCTCTGTGTGTTATTTTGGGCACGTGGCCAGGCGGAAAGATTTATCGTTACAATGTAGCACAAGTATAGATTTGCCATAAAGAAACAAATCTTGGGGCTGGAGAGACGACTCAGTGGTTAAGAGCACTGACTGTTCTTCACAAGATCCTGAGTTCAATTCCCGGCAACCACATGGTGGCGCACAACCATCTTGAATGTGATCTGGTGCCCTCTGCTGGAGTGCAGGCAGAAGACTGTATACGTAATAAATAAATAAAATTAAAAAAAAAGAAACAATTCTTACCCCAGTAGTTGCCACAGGAAGTGGATTGGCTGTGTAAAGGCTTCTTTTCCCATCATAAACTGGTCTACGATCTCCAAATATAGTCACTTTAAAATGCTGAACCATTGAGTCAACTACTTCTCTAAGGAAGGGAAAAAAATACAGTCACATAATCCTCTGCAAGATGAAATGCAAAACTATTAACTGAAATAGTTCCTGGCACTGTAAAATAAGGTTTTGCTTTCAGAACCATAGCTTAAGATAGCAGAAGACTGACTGCTGGCAAAGGATGACACACATTTTCCAAAGACAAAAAGAAAAATTAATCCAGTAAATTAATCATTTTTGGTTACTGTTGACCAGAAAAATATTATTAGAATTTCATTCAAAATCCCTTTCATCTTCTCTAAGCACTCCCTGTTTACTTTTGTTCTTTCTTTCTTTTCTTTCTTTTTTTTTTTTTTTTTTTTTTTTGTTTTTTGTCAC